GAAGAAAGGGGCCAATATGGGAGAGGCTGTAGGGGAGGCAGCCCCTCGTCGGTAGGTGGAGGTGGGGGCCCATAGGCCCGAAAGGGCTGTGCTACAGTGGTATTGGGAGACGGGAGTGTGCAACGTTGACTCTTAGTGCCCTGAGCAGGCCCTAGAAGGTCACCCTCAGAGGGGGTGGAAGGACCAGGTCCAATGTTAGGTGGCACTCTGGGGTCTCTGCACCTTTCTTCACCTAGTGGAAGGGACGGGGGATATGGGGGAGGGGTGTCTAGGAGAAGAAGGTCTTGGGTCTCTGGATAGATTCACTTGGGATGTTCAGAGATGTCTGTACCCTCTGGAGGGTTAGGGGACTGGGCCACCAGGACTTGAGGGGGGTTTGGACGGGGCCTGGGCAACCATGGTCAAACCCACAAAGGTGGGTTTTGGATTAGATCTTGCCAAACGATGATGTACGGTTGCTGGTCCAGATGACTTCCTGGTCCCTTCTGAAATACAATGTCTTTGACGGAAAGGATAGAGTTAAGGTCAAACGTGCCTTCGGGTGGCCACCTGACACCAAAGGTGGGACTCTCAAAGGCACAAAATGTCTGCCAGAGTCCCTTTTGAATTTCTACAGACAGGTCTCAACCTCTTCCCTTCACTTCAGTCCAGTGTTCGAGAGTCAAATTTAAAGGAGTCACCACAGTCTGCCCCATCGTCAACGAATAGGTTAAGAGTACAGACAACAGAACAAAGAACAGGACAAGACAAACAGAAAGTAACTTACCGATTTTTGTTTTCCACAATCTTTGGACAGATTCAGACGGGCGCAGGCCATGGGGACTCCAGGCCAAAATATGTACCTGATCTGCACCCTTATCGTAGGAGACGATCAGGCTTCCATGATCCTCCTCTGCCCTTAGGGCGTCCTCCAGGGCTGCAGCCTGTGGTTCTCTGGGCACGTCTACTGACCACAGTTCGGCTATTTTACAATAGGCCGAACAGCTGCGGAACCTGAAACGGACTATTGGGTACCACACGGAAACAAACAAGAAAGTCGACAAACAAACAGGTTTTTTTTTTTTTTTAGGCTTACCTCCAAGGCCGACATTGCAGATGATGGGTAGCCACGATATCCTGGACGAGCCCCCAAATGAAAGGGCGCTGACCGCCTGGCTTGGCGTGCTTTCTGTCCAGAGGATACCGACCCCCAATCAACCACAAGAGTCGGTTCTTGATGCAAAATGCAAGAGGTTTTATTTTTCCGGCCAGCTGCTGGTTGGGGTCCAAGCACACACCTGACTCAGCAGGTCTGAGTGAGGACCCTGTTTCTAGGGTTATAGGTCTTTTTATAAGCAGGAGAAGGTATGCGGAAGTTTAACGGATAACTTTATTTCTAGGGGGAAGAGCAGCAGCTCTTGCGACACAGGTGCATGGGTTATCTTTCTAGTTCCTTGTCCACATTCCATTTGTTCAGTTCCTGGAAGTTTGCATAATTAATTCTGTCAGCGGAGCCGGCAATAGTACAGAAATGAAAAGGCAAAGGTTAAATTTTATCTTTACAGAGCTGAAAGGCACAGTTTAAATTTACTCTTACAGTGGCTCATTGCCTTTTGGATTATTTCTGTTGTTTTTGTCATAGTGGTAGGTTTCTTTGTACCAACTTCATTCCCTGCAAGAGTGCCTCTCTGTATTTTGGGGGCATGCTCTTGTAACAATGTCTTTGCTGCTGTAAGGACTTTGTTGTTCCTCCATATTCAGTAAAGTGAGGAGGAGCTGGTGGTAGCCATCCCTGGTGGGCTGATGAGTTTGGAGTATAGACTGCAGGAGCTCTTTCATTGCTTGGGCTGTTCTGAGTATGGGGTGTGTGGTGTTTCCAATTAAGCAAGTCAGTGGTGGTGAAAGGCTGGTAATATAATGTTGCACTGCCTTCCTTAATAGCCCCATCTGCACCTAACTGGGGCATCCCTTGGGTCTCTTGCAAGGGCATCTGGAGAGTGAGGTTGCCCCAGGCTGCAGTAGTTCCCCAGGTGAAAGCAAGGGAGGCAGAATCTGGGTGTGGAAATTGGGAAGGTCAGTGGCCTCTCCCCTGGGTAGTCTGAGCTGCTGCAAGTCCCAGAGATTTCTCCGGTTTTAACTTAACTCCATAATCCTTGGAAAAACCTTTCTTAAAGTTAGTCAGCATACAATCCAGCACAGTGGGTTTAGGAGATTTGGACTGAGGTTTTCCCATTGTACCCCTAATTCTCTCTTACTTTTTCAGTTATTAAATATCTGCATTTCCCAAAAGGCACAGGAGATGACTGGTTGGAGGAAGGGCTCTATTAGCAGACTCTTGGGGGCAGGTCTTCATCCAGAAGTTGAGAAGCCTCATGGCTACTGCTTAAAGAACCAGACCACCTTGGCAATAAGTTTGTTGACCTTTTTAAGGGGGATATCTACCAAGGGCTGCAATTAAAAAGATCACAGCAGTTTCTCCCTGTGGTCCCTCTTCTTGGCTCTCCAATGGCTGATACTCTGGTGCCAAAGGGAGTACTCCTGTGGCAGATGACAAATGGAGTGGAGAAGGAATTGGGAACAGGAGGTCTAGGTAGAGAGATTGATGCCTGCCCTCTCTTCTCCCAGGGAGAGTGGACAGATCTCTCTCCCTGGGGTAGGAAGGAGGACATCTTTCATCACAGTTGAGAAGAACTCATGTCCCAGCTTCCAGAGAAAAAACTTATGACCTACATCTACTGTGCCTATCCATCTCTATAGGGAAAGCCCTACCAACTGTCCTTGTATCCCCCCTCCCATGAATGATGTCACAAGAAAAGGATAGGTGACCCCCCCCCCCACCAAGGGGAAGGCCATTCAGGTGTCTGCTCTGGCCGTGTCCCTCACAGGCTTTGTGTGTTTCCTTAACAATAGGCGGTTGGATATATAAACGCCACCCAATTTAAAACCTCTCCAAAAAAAAAAAAAAGAACTTCCACCAGATTACACACATAGAGAGGAAAGGAGGTCCTCAGTGTGTAATACTACCACTTAGTATTTTTCAGGAACACCACAAAACAACAGAAAACAGACTCATGCCCCGTAGTGCAATGCACTGTGGTACAGCAAACACATTTACTCATCACACTCACATTCACTCAGAGGTTATGCATTCCCTCCTCATATCAATCCAAAGATAAATAAGTCCTGACTACTGGTCCTGTGACCAAAGAAGAATGTTCAAATCTCTTCCACTCACTGAGTGGACTGACTGATGAACTCTACAGACCAATCAGAAAGAGATGAGTCCAGACTGCCTGTTCTGTGAGCAAAGGAGAGTGTAGGGCTCTCCTTATCCACTCCCTGAGTGGACTGACTGATGACTCTGCAGATCTCTGGGGTTTACCAGATTACCAGAGTTGACCATAGGTGATGCATCCAGGTCCAGAATAAAAGTTGGTCCAGAATGCTTGTTCTCAAGGGGGGCACCCCAGCTGAGAGATTCTGTCAAAGAAGTTGGGGCGTGCCTATCCCTCCATACCTCAGTGCTCATCCCAGGGAAGGGAGCACCCTGGGATCAGTGGCTCAAAGGGCCAGTATGATTTTTGCTTCCCAGCCAAACTATCAAATATTGTGGAAAAACAGAGGGCAAAGGGACAAAAGGCAACATTCGCAAAACCATCAAATGCTGTGGAAAAACAGAGGGCCAAGGGACAAAAAGCAACATTCTACAGAGATAGAAATACTCTTTATTGTTACTGCCAGTGGGCATGGAGGAATTAACATTATGAAGGGGCCCTCTTTGAGGGTTAAGCAAGGGTCTTTTATAAGGGAGTTTGGAGGAAGGGGGGACTCCAGCAGGCTAAGGAAATCCTATTAAGAAGAAACTTCAAGTTTATTTTAGCAAAGAAAGGGTTAGTTAAGTAGGGTGTCTGTCTTTTCAAGGCCTCAGGTGGCTTTTATCATTTCAAAGGGGGAGAGGCAGTAAATTCACAGAGGCCTAGTGAGTGTCAGCAGCTGTTTGCCTTGGGCTGTAGTGAATTCTGGATGTCTCCACACCATGAAGAGGAAGGTCAAGAGAGACCTGATACAGACAGGCCTCAGTAAGGCTGCCCACATCACTTAGAGGATAATACTGCTTCTATGCAACTAAGGCAGCATAAGGTGTTATGAGATAGATTAGCTGGAATATAGTTAAATGTGAAGGCTCCACATGTAAAAAGCAAACAAACAAACAAACAAAAAACAGCCTATAGGCAACTGAACAAAGCCAATAGCATAACTAACATTTTCTTTTTTTTTTGTTTTGTTTTTGTTTTTTGTTTTGTTTTGTTTTTGCAGCAATGAGATCCTGGTGGCAAATGTAGACAGTTGGACACACAATTTTGAACTTGCACACAAGTGTCATTGCTAGACGTTAAAACTTTTGGGGTATGTAGCATAATGAGACCTTTAGGAGGTTCTAAAGACACAGGTCCCCAATTATACATATCTTAGTAGGAAATGTTTTCGTTAATATTTTGGAAAATAGTCAATTGTCGAATCTCTTCAAGGGGTTTACATACTGGTTGAAAACAGGACCTCAATATATATTGAACATGTTCACTATGTTGCAGACAAAAGTTAGTCAAATTTAACTCCTGAACCAATTTTGTCTACATATTATATCCAGTGCTTGGTGTAATTCACCTTGCAGGGTTCATGATTAGCAAGTGTTAAAGAGGGTTAAATTGACTCTGATAAGCATATGATTATGATATAACATATGTCATTGAGTTAGCAGTCTATTTGGCAAAGAGCAATGAACAAGTTCTCAGGAGTTGGTTCTTTTTCTTCTTCTTCCAGCATTTCCTGAGCATAGTTAGCTATTATTTCCATGTCACCCAAGTGCTAGGACTCACTGTGGCTGGCCTGATTATTCTTTTCTTGGTCTTCCTCTTTTCCTGAATCTTAGTTGGAAGCTTGGTATCAGGCTTTATGATGTCTGATGCCAGCTCATGATGTGCAGGTCATACACGTGAGAGGGGATCCAAACCGGGCCTATAGGAGTAAACACAGAGGAAAAGCCTCTTCCCCAGGTTATTAGAGGAACTCGGCATTGCCAGGTAGAATCTAGAGGCATATTATAGAAAACTTCAGCCTGAGGGAGTTTTTGTGAGGCTGATATTTGCTTCCAGGCTGTGCTCCATTGATGCAATTTTGAATAAAAAGTCAAATTTAGACAATTCAATTTAAACACAGTTAAAGAAAGCAATCTGGCAGAATGAGTAGAGGGGGGCCCTAGATTCCCCTTTCTTTGTTTTAAAAATATGGAGAGTGTTTGTTTTATTAACAAGTTCTAAACTAGTTAATCAGGTCTATTTAGACCAATCAGTTAATTTCAAAGATCTTCCCTCAGGGTACCTAGGGCAATAGGTATCAATTTCTATTAACATTTGAGAAATGGTTTTGGAGAGCATGCAGTGATTAGCCTGATTTAATACATACAATAGCTCCTCCTTGTGAGTAGTGTGAGTGGGAGATAGCCTGTTACCCATCCTGATTCCTGGGATCTCTGTAGAGATGAATGGTGTTGTAACCCTTCTCTGGTCTAGAATCAGTGGGTAGGCTGCTTGAGAAAAGCTGCATGTGTGGGAGACAGTCTGTTACCAACACTAATTTTCTGGGATTTCTGAAGAGATGAACAGTGTACCTGTAGCCCTTACTTGAGTGAGAAATTAGTGCGTAGACTGAAAGTCAACTACTTTGCTCACCTCCAGTTCTGAAAAGCACAGATCTTATCTATTGCCTTTGGAATCAGGTGCCAACACAGCTGCTGTAGTGCCATCTCATGAAGATAATGGACTTTAAATGTGCTCAGGAGTAGAAAAGCGTCAACAGGATTGTAGGTCTTGGTCTCATGTAAACACCCCAGTGCTTGTGTGAAGCAGCTAAATAGCCTGGAGTGGGGGCAGAGGCCTGAGGACAGTCACTGAGCTGAGGCCAGTCTTGAGCCTGCAAAGGATGGGTAAGGAATGCTCCTGGTGCATTCCAGGCAGCTCCGTCTCATGTGAGTCACCTCTAGCTGGTCAGAAATCTACAGAAGGAGGTTGACACTAAGAAAACCAGGTATAGGGACCAGCAGTTAGCGTAATGGCTATGTTGCTGGACTCCCACGTAGTCAACCGTGGTTGGTGTCCCAGACCCAGTGGCTTAAACTCACACCGGGCATGTGTGCGTGCATGCCCAAGATCCCAAGAGGAGAATGGAGGAGAAGGGATTGCAGCGTGGCCATCCCCCCTGGGGAGTGATTTCTCGCTTTCTATTTCTCTGTCTGTCTCTGTCTGTCTGGGGAGCGCACGCGCCCTTTAGCAAAAACAAAAAAAAAAAAAAAAAAAAAAAAGAAAGCCAGGTACAGATGTCCTGTGCATTCTGTCCTTTCCTTTCTGAGGTTGTAACTCTGGTCACCTTGTGGCAATATTCTGAACAGTGTTTGGATCTGAGCAACATACAGTCACTGAGTGAGAGCAGATTATGAATGAGAAGAAAATCTCTGAGGGTCAGACACCTGGATTGTGTGCTAGAGAAAGGGTTTCTAAATTTCACAGTTTGCTAAAGTAAGAACCTGCTACTAGAAATGAAGATGATAAATGTGGGATTATTTTCATACATGAGGAGGTTTAGGAGGGCATGAGCTCCCTGAGTTAAATCCCTCACTTTCTGTCTACTTAAAGGGACAGACCCACTCTGGGCCTTCATTTCAGCATCAGAATCTGCATCCCAGCTTGCGAATCTGTTTTTACCATCTGGGTGTGAGTTTTCAGTGTGAACTGTGGGTTAACCAGGCTGGTGATGTGAGCAAGTGCAAATGTATGCTTTTATTCACTTTTTAAAAACAAATTTGCCATCAGGCACCTGTGCCCACTGGGGAAAAAAAAAAAAAACAGAGAGTGGTAAAGGAGAAATCACACCCTCAGGGGATAATACACTGCCATGTGGAAATCCCATATCCTCCATTTTCTCTTGAGATTTTGGGCACAGGTGCACACAGATTCAGTGTGACTTTCTAGCTGCTGGATCCAGGGCTTGAATCTCAGTCAGTCATGTGTAAATCTAGCACCATAATTACAATGCTGCCTGCTAGCCCACACTTTTGATTCTAGTATACAATATTGCTACCACAAACTATAGCTTTTTTTCTTTTGAACTAAATGGAATATCTGTAAAGCAAACTTACAAAGAAAAAGTGTTTATTAGTCTCACAAAAGCTTTCTCTGATATAAACTCTTTCATAGCAATTTACATGAATTATAACCCTTTTACTAGTATAAAGACCCTCACTTTATTAGGGTCAGCAGATGTGTCATTATTGCCACCAGGCCATGCTGCAAGTGGGTGTGACTGCACATCCCAGAGTCTGACCCTTAACTGATGCTAGCTTCGAAACCCATAAACTACATTTTCCTTATATTTTTGATTTATAGTTCTTCTGATCTTGACAGAGTTTACAGAGAACAAAGGTAACAGAGGAGCATCTTCTGAAGATGGTAGAAGAAACAGGTTTTGGGAAAAGTGCATTAGTAGAAGATGTCCAAGGTAAGATCCTGGCAGAGATCTTAGTCTATTTAACAGAATGTGTCATGAGCCCAAGGGACCTCTTACTCTTATATACATATATGGCAATCTACCAACCTACCTACCTACACACACACACACACACACACACACACACACACACACACCCCACACACACACTTATAGTAATCTAAATTTTATATCCACATTTCATACATCACATAATTTTATTCCTATTTGGCATGTGTTTATATTTGTGGATGAAAATTAGTAGATTGAGAAATGAGGTATGAGGGAGTCCTGGCCATGCTACCCACATTTCCATCCCAAATCCCTGCACCCTGGAGGACATGTCTCTCTCTCCTGGTCCAGAGAGTCCTGGTCTGGGCAGAGCTTCTGTTCTGAGGACAGGGGTTGATTTCATTGGTCACAGAGGCTGAAATTCCCTGTACCCTCTGTGATTTGTCCAGGAAGACAAAGCTGGAAGGTTCCTCTTCATACTCAAAGATGCTCTGCTCTGAAAAGTTTGAGGCATGTCGTGTTAAAATGCAGCTATTCCCTACCCAGGGCTAAATCTGCAGAGTCAGGAATGTGCCCTGTGCAAGTGTGTGGGCAAGAAGCTGTCTCTCAGGCTCTACTCTGTCAGGTGTCTGATTCTTCTGTCAATAAGGTTCCACAGGTTCCAAGTCACTGTGTAATCAGGTGTTTAGGAGCAAGACTCTGTGAACTGTTGAATCGGGGTCACTGCAGCGAGGCTCTGAGCACTGTTTAGTCTTATGTGCTGTTTGGCTAAGGTTGTGCAGTCAACAATTACCTGAGTACTTGTTTTCTCTATTTCTGGCCTTTCTTCTAATGGCTTCGCTGTGGAGGGGCCTCCTGTCTCAAACTCTGTCACCCTGTGACCTGCACTGGCTGAGAGCACAGGAAGGACTTAGTGACACCCTGGAGGTTGAGGAATTATGAATGTAAGTGTTAAATCTCTGGGGTTTGGAAGTGGGTATGTTGGTAGAAACTGGGCATAACTGGCTGATGCAGGACCAGGCTATTCTGTGTTCAAAAGGAGTCTCCAGTTTCAAATCTGTAGCTGGCACAGCTGAGCCCTTGTCATCTCCAGCCCTGGATGAGAATTCAGCAGCAGCAGGACCCCCTTTTCCTGACATGTCCCTGTATGGAGACTTGTGCCAGCTAGAGCCTTCTCTGGCCAACCCAGAATCTTCTTCAATCATGTGGTATGGATAGGAAAGTCACTGAGATATCCCTACAAGGAGTCATGAGCTTTCTGCTGGGGAGCATCTGTGATCTGTGACACCTTATTCTCAGTGGACCAGTTTTCTACTGAGTTTTCTAAATAATGGGAAGCAGGGGCACAAACTTAAGAACCTGTTCTCTTCATAAGGCAGGAAATAAAACCCATGTTTCTAACTCACACCTGGTATTTCCTAATACCACTTTCCTCTCCTGAGTTCATAACATTATGCGTTAAATGTCCCCCCCATTGCATTATAAACAGACACAATATTTTAATAGTCATTTTTCGAGTGAGCACTAAGTACTTCTTGTGTGTTCGTGCACATTTGACCTAAGAGGATATTAGGGAATAACTGCCTGAAACTCAGCTGTACAAATATGTGTGCTGCCCCTCCTTGTCTCTTCCCTAGGCACAGACATGCTTCATGATGCCTTAGGTTGAGGTTCTTGTTTGAAGCCTTTACAGGGTGACCTGACTTCAACCTACCCTTTTTTTTTT